CTATTCTTTCCTCTTCTCCCTTTCCAAGGAAGCCAAACCCTGGAAAGTTTAGAGATGCACTGAAACTGATTCAACTTTTTTGCGGGACAGAGGAGGACTGGCCAATCGAATGGTGAATCTGAGGAAGATGGGAGGACCAGAGCATACAGCAGGTTGATATTTTGCTGTTGCATGCAGGTGCGGAGCTTCACAGGTGAAGGAGCTGCTGGAGGAGAAACAGGAGAGGCTGCTGCATCTGGGGTGCCTTTGAAACAACCCATGAAGAAGTCTCAAGACAACTGTATATCTGGTTCCAGGCTTGCAGAGACAGGGGTAGACTAGAAAGATGGCAGTTCCTGTAAAAATGAGACTCACTGTGATTCGACTCTCCACTTAGGTTGTAGGAGTGCAAGGAGGAATAAGGATATGAAACAGCCTGAGAGCCATGGGGAAGAAGAAAGCACTGAAAGCAAGGACGCAACCTGAAGAAGCAGACATGGGGACAGTCACCAGAGGGGCTGGCAGCCACTGCACCTACCCATGTCCTCAGGACGTCCCTGGGACACAGTGATGCTTGTGATGACGACTCTCCACACCAGCACTCTGCTTTCCAGTATGGGGAATCGAACCTAGGATCTTCAAACTGAGCTACATGCTCAGCTTTTTTTTTTTTTAAATTTTAAAGGAGGGGTGATTCTAAATCTCTAAATTGCCCAGGCTGGCTCAAACTTGTAATACTCCTGCCTCAGCCTCCCAGAGTTCTGGGATTACAGGTGTGTGCCACTACACCTGGCTCTCCACACCAATACAAAATGTCCAGTGTCTTATGTTAAATAAGGCAAAGGCTCTATGTTGATTTCCACTCACTTTCAAGCCAAAATGATTCTTTTTTTTTTTTTTTTGGTTTTTCTCCGGTACCGGGAACCGAACTCATGACCTTGCACTTGCCAGGCAGGCACTTTGCTGCTGAGCTAAATCCCCAGCCCCAAAGCCAAAATGATTCTTAAAGAAGTGAAGTTTCATGGTCTAAGAATGCTTGCTGGGAGAAGCCCCTCCCAGAGGGGCTGTGTGGGAAGGAACACCTCAGAGCAGCGTTGTGTTTGTTTGTTAACACAGCACTTTTGGAAATCCACGAGCTGATCTTTCTGTTTACCCTTTATGTTTCCTGGGGTTTTTTGGAAAACAGTTTGAAACCCACTAAGCTTACCTAACATT